ACAAACCAGTAATTATTTGGCATATTTTATATATTTAACTAAATATTTTTATTCTTTTGAAAATAATCTTCAATATTTAATAAGGATATATAAGTATCTCAGAGAAATGGAAAATCTTTAATCCAGAAAATGTTTTGGGTAATTTTAAATAACTTCTTTAATACACTAATAACAAATATTTTCCTACAAATTAATATTTATTTAAGTATGAGATTTAAAGCAGCAAGATGCACCAGAATTATTAAATGTTTTATGGCCATTTTAAAGATAGTTGTTATGTAACTTCATCTATATAAATATATAAATGAGAATGTTTATATTGGATTTCTGCAAATCAATTAATTTCTATCTACATTCGATTTGTTGATTTACATGTAGCACCATCTATTGGCAAAAAATTAACAAAATAATAAACTAAATACAATTGTTATAGAAAAAGGATATAATTTTTAAAAATTTATATTATGTTCACTTAATTACTGTGACAGATAGCATATACCAGTAGCACTTGCTTGAATGGAAAGTGTTATCCTGTGAATAGCCTATAAGTATTTAATTTTTCACATTAACGACTATGGTTTTTTTTTAATTTCTGAATTATACTTTCTTAATTCTAATATGCGCCCTCCAGTAGCCGAGTGCATAAAACTACCAAACACTGGTAGTTAATTAGTTGTGGGTTCAAGCCTGGCCATGTAAGTTTCCAGAATTTCTTCTCTTAAATAGAGTCCAGCTTCCCATAAAAGTCCTCCCAGGATACATCTGCCAGCAGATTGCTCACGTGTCACATCATGGTAACCAAATAAACCAAACTAGTTCTAATGAGCAATTATTTATTGTGATATCATCACAATGCTAGGTGCAATATTTTGTCATGATGTTCTTGTTTTAGTGGTGTCTTGCCCCTGTATGTCATACTTTTCCTGTTAGCAATAGTGTCATGTTGATCATCTAATTAACTGTGTTTGGGAAAAAATTTGGAATTGAAGTAATGTTACTTCTGTTCTAAACCAAATGTTCATGTATAGTTAATTTGGGCCTCCTGTCCCTAAGCTTTCCACATTTGGTCTCGACTTTCATCTAACTCCTTTTTCAAGATTAAGGAATGACAATCTGAATTTATAGCTCTACAATTTTTTCAAGTTGCAGCCCAATAATTTTCTATAAATGCAATATTTACTAGAACATACTTTCCATGTTTATACAATATGTTGCCAAAATTTAAACACCACTATCATGTAAAAGGAATTATTCTAGCATTTTTAAAAGATTTTTTTATTTAAATATGTTTTATATGAAGTATTTCGGACATCAAGGTTAGCAACTTCGAACACTACCATCACAATCTGTCTAACAAGGACCACTTTTCAAATATTAATAGTAAACTGATATTAATTGTTCATTGTAGTCATTGAGCACCCTCTCTTTCCGGGAGGAGGTCAACAACTACTTTTGGTCGAATTACTTCAATGGGATAGTTAAAAGGGGTTCTTTTGCAATGGTCCCTTCTAACTATCATACTAGCAGATGGTGGCATTCAAATAGGAAAGTTACTTAACATGAGGTTACCAGCGAACACAGAATATGATTTAAGTGGTTTTGAAGGTACTGAATTTAAATCTTTGGTCCATTTTTCACAAAATTTCATTCACAGCGAGATTACTGTTTGATATTTGATAGTGAATGTACAGTTTTTTAGAGTTAACAATAGGAAAATAATATGATATCTGAAAAAATTTAAGATAACATATTTACAGTTGATATATACTTGACCAATGAAATTGTGCCATTTTGTACCATCCAAGTATTGCGATAAAAACAATGGTGGGCTGAAATAATTAAACTCTTTATATGGTTTTCATTTTAATGTTTGATTATATTAGATTTATATTTACAAAGGTTATCTTACACAAGAATTTATCACACTGACTAACCAATCTAACACATTTTTAAAATTCTTTATTCCACTACAGTACACAATTTTAAAAATTTTTACTACGTGTTAGATTAAGCATTTGGTGTAATAAACCCTTATGTTAGATAACCTTTGTAAATATAAATTGAATATTATAATATAATAATGTATAATAGAGGGGTTAAAAGTACAGAATAATCTAATAATCTTAATGTTTACTGTTGTAATTTTTTGCCTGAGCAATGCTGGGCTCATCTGCTAGTTTGTTTATAAATGAAAGAATAGTGTAATAGTAATTTTTTTCATAACTTTTAATATATTCTATGATATATGAATATATTAACCTATTCAATGTTGAATATTTTCTCCGTCATGTGCCGCTCCATGTTGAATATTTTTTGATGTTAAGCCTAACGCGATCACACGTTTAAGAAAAATAATAATTCTGGCTATCGTATTATTCCGAATTTATATTTCTTACACACAAAATAGACATATTAGGGAAGGTAAAAAACAAAAAAAAAATTTATTTTAAAAGTTAATTTTAGTGTGATATATCTCGAAACAAGGTACAACACACAGTGGAACGTTACACTGTACACATTGATGATGTGATTCTGCATGTTTTTTGTGAGCTGAACATACTTTACATACTCTGGGTGGATGCTTTTTTTCTCTGTAGGTGGTATGAGACTAGGAAAATGCCGTTCAGATAAACGTAACGGATTTTCATGTGATGGTCGACTGCGGTGGGCTAGATGTCTGCTTGTGTGATACTTCTCTATCACTTCTCTTATTACAGACATATGAAAATCTAGAAATGATATTTGTTTTTTCGTATGTTTTCGATACAAAATACAAGCATTATATAATGTAATATCCATCATATGGAAAAACACTTTTTTGTACCATTTTACTGTTTTTCTCATGCACGCATAATTGTGTATTACTCCATCACAGAGATTGATACCACCCATATTGCGATTATAATCCAAAATACAATTTGGTTTCCTTATAACTTCCCCAGATCTGTCACATTTACCTGAATCAGAATTCGTTGTCACTCATCGTACTTAGAATTGCCACATCCCGTTTGTCTTTCCAGCAGAACACAGACAATTCATCTTTCTGACAAGTAATAAATTCCCCTTCTTTCAATTTACGATCAGGAAAATTACATGGCATTCCTATCTGATTTTTATTTACAATTCCACATACATAAGTTTTTTGTCTAGAAGTGTTTTTGCTAAGGTCGGTGAAGTGAAAACTAAGGTCGTTGAAGTGAACCTATCTAAAAATGCCTTGTGATATTTACCAAACAATGGTTCTAATAATGTTAGCACAACCTTCTCTCCTTGCCCACCTTCAAAATTTCCATATTCAGTAGTAGCTCTGGTATAAACTATAAAGTCCCAAACATATCCTGTTTGTGACTCACAAATTTTGAAGCTTTTCACCCCAAAACAAGCACACTTGTTTGGTATGTATTGCCTAAATCCCAATCTCCCTTTCCATAGCATAAGACTTGTCTACACAGATATTTTCCTCTGGGAGATATGCATTTTTGAACTTGTGGCGTAAATGATCGATAACACTGTGTAATTTATGCAGTCGATCATCACCACCTGAAGCTTGATTATTGTCCGTAAAATGCAGACAGGACAATAAAAGTAGAAAGCGGTTGCTCGACATTGCACTTGAGAAAAAGGGTGTCGAAAAAAGATCTTTGATCGTAAAATACATGCTTAGGCGCGGTTTTCTAATTATGCTTGTGACCATTATAAGTCCTAGAAATTCTCTAATTTTTGCATTTGTTGTTGGTTTCCAGTTTTTTATCCAACTATTCTCTCGTAAATTGTCACAGTTTAACAAACTCTCACCGTACCTATTCGTTTCTGAAACAATCTTGTCGACAAGTTCGTCATCGGAAAATACACTGAAACAGTCGAATGGTGTAGCATCACTCCGTAGATTACATAGTATTCCTGATGGTCCCGTAAAACTGCTCACTTGAGGATGTCTGAAATTTGTACGAATCCATCCGTTGTCACTACTAAATCACGGACATTTAGCAGTATTACTTCGAGTACTGCCGCATGATCTGCCTCTATATCCACTCGTAGATGGTAAATCAGGATCAAAATCACCACTGTCATCACTTACATTTTGATCTGGTAAGTAATCATCGTTGCTGTCTGAAAATTCAGATTCATCAGAACCTAAATTGAATAAATATTTGATAACTTCTGACTTATTTAGAGCGCTGTGTCTACTACTTGCTGCCATGTCAAAAGACAGAGAAGAAGAAGTCTGATTTTCTTTGTGATTTCTAACAAAGAGCAATTCCTAGAATTTCAATATCTAGCTGAGCAAAAACTAGATAACAACGGTTCTTCTGATATGAGTCACTTATTTCAAAACAACATACAAGTAGCGACATCTGATGTTTAAAAAATGTTCCAATGTAAACACGTAAATTTTCGAGATTGCCCACACAGGTCAACACGAATATTTTCAGGAACAACATACAACAGGTTAACTATGCTTCTTGTCTAGACTTTTTAGTGCTCACAATCATTTTAATACCTGTACATTACTATTTAATTTAAATGTACAGCAAATAATGAACTTCCTTTATTGAATTTTATTCCATTTTAATTGTAAGTAGAAAAATCCTTCCTTAAAATTTCTGATAATCTAAGGCAAAAGGGATAATTATTTCTTCAATTTCTTTCAAGAAATTAGTACGAAACTAGATTGTGTGGACTCAGATTTTCATTTAAATATTAGCAAGAACAAAATGAAAAAGATTTCTTATTGTAATGCATATAAAGAAAATTTGGAACTTTCGATTATGGCTTGTACAAAGAACTGGAATAGTCCTACTTACAAAAATTTGCACATGTAATTGTTGATAACATAAAATTCATTTTATTAGAAATTAAACAAGAGGGAAAAAACTCATTGGTCTTTTCTATATTTTTATAAATTACTTTTTATTTGAAGAATTAGGAATTTAGCAAATTAATATTAATTTCTAATGAATTTTATATATTAATTCTGATTTTATGTAACTATATTTCAGTCTCAGATCAAATCAGATGCTTTACGGTGCTCCTCTCGGGCTCTTCATTCGAGTAAATGCATCGGTGCAAACATGCTAATGAAGTTGTTGCAGAATTACTGTCACGACAAAGGAATTACGTCGTCAATCAAAGTCGGAGTAGTAGGTTAGTTTTTATTATAAATTTATTAGAGACTGAGATAAATTCCCCCATTTAAAGATGTTGACTTTGCATAATTTCTCGTGCGCCACTCACGGGCTATTTGAGTTTTGAAATCTGTTTGAAAGAGGATGTGGGCTATGCAGTCTACTAATTTTTGTGGGTTATATGTCAGATATGGGTGTACAAGGGAAATTATGGTTGTCGATTGGCTAATTTTTCCTAGAAAATTAATTCTGTACTGATATAGTCTTGTAAAACAATAATTTTTGTAATTATATCTTATTTCTTGATTGCTTAACTTTTTTTTTTTTTTTTGTTCTGTCTATTGTTGTCCGAACTAATCTTTATTAATGTCCATAAATGTTTTAAAATTTTGAAATATTTTACAGGCTTTCCTAATGTTGGTAAAAGTAGCATTATTAATAGTCTGAAGCGTTGTAAAGCTTGTAATGTTGGAGCAGTTCCGGGCATTACAAGGTAAGAACCATCAAAACGATATTTTTAAAAACCTCTAAAAATTCCATTATTTCATTATAAATTGATTTTAAGGGTGGCCGAAGAAGTACAGTTGACTAAATTAATAAGACTGATTGACAGTCCTGGAATCGTGCATGAAAAAAATGAAAAATCTGATCTATCGTACGCGACTATTGCCAAGGTAGAAGATTTAAAAGATCCCGAATCCATTGTGTCATCGATAATTCAGAGAATTAGTACTGATCAGGTGAGATTGTTGCTTACGTATAATGAAACTATCTATATCTTTTTAAAATATTTTTCTGTGAATTATGATAGTTTTAAGGCCAATTGTAACCTCTTTGGCTAGCATATGATCTCCTGGAGATGGCATCAAAGAAATAATGGTTTTTCTATGGAAAAATCCTTTTCTAAAAATTCTTAAAAATGGAAGCAGATAGTTTAATAGGATTATAAAGCAAAACATTGTTTAATGTGTAGTCAAAAAATTTACTTTTCAAAATTCCAGTCTTTGGTTATTTTAATTTTATATGAATTTTTAAAGGAGTTACAATTGGTCTTAAGAGAGCATTGGCTATTTTATTTTTAAATTTTCTGTTATAATTTTATGAAATGTTAATGTTCTTAAAATATATACTAAAATACTTGATATTATTTCAAGTAGTACTTAACTTGTTAATGATAATTGGACAATAATAAAATTTAATATTTTATTTTAAATGCCAAAATGTTTAAACAACATAATTTAAAAATTTCTACGATAAATAATTTTTGTCAAAATATAATTGATAACATTTTCATTATTTTATTGCCAAAAAATTACGAGATCTTTTATAATCAGTATAAAATTTGTGCATATTGCATAAGCACCTGACAATGCGATGGGATAAAATTTATGGCTAATTGTCAACATGTATAAATTTTGTTGGATGTTTCCAAAATAAGGGGTGATGTAATGGTGCCAGATTTGTCAGGTGTCTCACTTGATGGCATGGAGTATAATGTTTTAGATTGAAAGTCCCCCATTACCGGGATGCATTAGGATGAGAAATGATGTTCCAGAACTTCTTTCAAGGGATGTAACATGTCTCGATTTTTTTTATACCAATTCTCTCATAAGAAATAACTAACAGATTTTTCATAAATAAAGAACTGAATTGAATTACTCTGGTTACATATTCAAAGTACTTTGTGGTGGAATTTGAAGGTGTGATAAAGACACTTTTAACTGGTGTTTGTTTTCCTCTTTCTTTGCCTGTTACCACCAGCATTCTTGTACTACTATCTGTTTTTAGCAAAACACACTTCCCATTACTAATCAGTAGTCTGTGACTGGCAAGAGAAGTCAGAATTGACTTTGAATTGAATAGTTTCCAGACAACCGGTCTTGATCTGGATGCGGAGAGTAACGTGTGTTCTTGTTCGAATAGGGCTGGGCCAAGAGCAGGCTATGCATACAAGTCTTCCAATTAATTGGTCTGCACGAGATGAGGAAAGAAAAACATACAATATAAAAACAAAATGATAAATTAATAAACATTCGTAAATAATTAAAAATTTGAAGAAACTTCTTTCTGCATGTCAGAACATTATTAAACAGGAGACTAATTCAATTGCCTCTTGAAATACAGTCGACCCCCCTATAACGTACGTTCCTATAACGACAATTCCTATAACGTAGCGAAAAAATTGTAGAAACTTTCGTATAACGTACCTCCTATAATGTCGTTTCGCGAGAAGATTGATAGAGTCTGGACCAATAGTGGATGAGCAGCCGAACTACTTACCTCCGACCCTGCGCCACGCTACAGAGCGGCTAAATTGAGTTTGCTATCGTCTGTTTAGTATTATATATAAATTATATATAAATTAGGTACTGTACATATAATTATATATTAATTATATATAAATTAGGTACTGTATATATAATTATATATTAACTTAATTTATTGTAACTTTATTATAATTATATATATGCTTTCTGCCGCCTGGCAACACGCTACGGAGATTTTAGGCTAGTAAGTTGAGTTTATTATCGTCTGTACAGTATGTAAATTAGGTACCGTAAGTCTAATACAGCACTAATTTTATACATTTCTTGTGAAAGAAACACTTCTTATTCAACGTCCATAAAAATTATTTATATTAATGATGTCTCCAAAGGTCAAGTTATTTTTCTGCCAAAAATTCGTTATCAGAAATTGCGGCCGTCGTTTCGTGTGCTGTTCCGCGATGAAAACCAGCTTTAAGCAACGGCGTAGTCGAACGGTACACACTCGGTAAATAATCCTATAATTTTTTGTTTATAGCATAGTTTATACAGATTATTCCCAAAAAATTATACGTATTTTGGAAATGTTGAGTGGAATTAGTCTAGAATCGGTTAATTTTATAGAAGAAAACCTTTCAAACAGCCTTAGTCCGTAAAGTTCCCACCTATCGGGCTTCGATTGGCTCATGTATTTAATCGTTCCTACAACGTAATTTTCGGTTAGTGTGGAACGTATCTAAGCGTTATAGGGGGGGTCTACTGTAGTAACACAATTTTTTAAATTTGTTTTTTGAGGCAATCTGTAAATTTCATTTAAGTAAATCTCTGTGAAGAAAGACTGTTGTTTTTTCTGATAATTGCACATGATGGAGAGATGACAACTTATTTCTTAAAAAATTAAAAATTTTAAAAAAATCCCATCAACCATTTTAATTAAAATTCATAAATAATATATAAATATGTATATTTTGCATTTACTTAAATGAAATTTACAGATTGCCTCAAAAAACAAATTTAAAAAATCGTGCTACTATTTCAAGAGGCAATTGAATTAGTCTCCTGTTTAATATGCCTTATTACAGTTTCAGTCACGCTTTCCTTCAGAATGACTTATTTTTATGATTTTTATCTCCACTCATAACTTCTGGGTTCTTTTTCTGCCATTTCTACTTTGACTAACCACTTTGGTGCCAAATTGTGACACTTTGTTCTCTAGAATGTTATCACATGCAACAGATCTCTCTCACTCTCTCAAGTCCTTGAATTCTGTTCTTTTAACAATTTGAAACAATTATGAATGTTATGGTGGTTTGTCAGATCATCTGTGCATGCCTCTGTCTGGATCACGATTTGTATTTGATTTTCTGACATTGGGCTGTAATTCTCTATGGGTACTTGCAGATGTCAATGATATTTCGTCAAAAGTGGATGCCATTATGTAAATGACATCCTCGGTGTTAATTTTCTTAACCCTGCGTTAGTGCACTGAGTTTTTTTCGGCATTAGTGCAGTGGGGCGTTTGTCCACCCCGACATTTTTTTGGATCCATAAACCATGTAAGTAAAAATTCATAAAGATTTACTCATTTATTTGGTAAAGGCATGTGTCATTATACATATGATTATATTCAGGTATGATTACATATTATATTAGTACATAAATCCACGAAAATAAAAAACAACATTTATCAAAACTCATTACATTAGATCTTATTATTAAACCAATAGTAAAAATCTAAATTGTTTTTTAAGCATTTTTGTCACTCTGATTCAATAGCTGACATTGTACTTTGGCACTCAGTGCAAATGACAAGCAACTTGCTATGTTTGGTATTTTCTCAATGTGTTTATGAAAGTCAGCCATTTTGAATTAAAATAAACTTAAATTATTTTTATTCACATTGATTATTATATCTATATTATAAATAATAAATGTGGTCACATTATAGTTATTTGAAAAATAAAAAAAACTAAATAAATATTTGTAAAATTTTAAGAAAAACGTAATTAATACTGTGGGGTTTTTGGACACCCCACTGAGAACTGTTGTTTTTCTCTTACTGGAATTTCTGCAGCATCGTAGTAATTTCTGAGCATGCTCTATACATAAAATCATGAAGCTACTGAAGAGGACACAAATATTTCTTGCAAAATCTATGAATAGTGCAATTTTTAAAACGTCGGGGGGTGGCGAAACACCCCACTGCACTACCCCAGGGTTAATGGCTTCGCCAAATTCTGTTTGTTGGCGATCCTCAAGAATTTTCAAAAGTTTCTTCCATAATGCCTTTTCAGACTGATTATTGCATTTCAATCTGTAGGTTGCACCAATGATTTAACACTGGGTAAAAAAGCCACATTGACATTGCCAGAAGATAGGTCAACAGGATGTGGTGTAATGTTGCCAAGAAGGAGGGCGACATTTTGCAGTAATTTCAAAATGCATCAAACGTACCTTAACTTTTGAAATGTTTTGCAGTTTGCGACTCCTAGTGGCATTTGTACAAAAGACTCCAGAGATTCTCTCTTTACTCATTTTGAAACAAGTATTCAATGTTTCTCAACATTCTGCTAACATTTTTGGTGGAAGAAGCTTAAAATTTAAACTTGTTTCATCCAAATTGTAGATTTGTTTAGGAGTACTATTCGCTTCCTGTATAACATCTAAAAATTTTTGGGAAATTTACTTGCAGAATCTAAATCTGCCAACAATTTCTTGCCACAAATACCTAGATAATGAATTCTATGGTGCTTTTGCTATGATGCTAGTACACTGCCTTTTCCTTCAAAATTGGCCAATAAGAGGTGGTGTTCTAGCACAAACTATATTCATAATGTATTGTTGGCTTCTTTGTTGTATACTTGAGAGCATTTTTCGGTAGGCATAGAATTGAGAAAAAGTCTTAAGGGCTAGCTGGTTTTCTACCAATCATTCGCCCTTTCATTTTTTCTGATATCTAGTTTGTCATACGTTTATTTTATAGGGTTTCCATTATTAATACATTCTAGCACTTGGAATGTGTTAACTATTGAAACAAAACTATTTTTGCTATTAGTTCAAATTAGCATAATTAAAAACAAAAATTGTGTAGGAAGTGAAACAAAACAGCACAAAATAGCAGCAAAAAAATTATACGGTCCACTATACCCATGTGCAGAACCAACACTGGAAATTGATTCATGGGGAAAAATCTCAAAGAAAATATGGTGGATTAAAGTGAAGCCAGATGAGAGGGAGTCTTAAGGTCATGACTGTGCCAATCTCCAAAATATGACAAAAATATACTTGAATTCATGGCAGCAGTAATTAACAGAAGTCTGTTTAAGTCTGTAAAGTAATCTTTCCAGAGTCTTTTGATAATTTTGGGCTTATGGTACAATAACGACAATAGCAATTAAGTTCTGTGAGACTGATGGTCCCGTACGGAAATTTTTTGACAATAAACTTGTCAGAATGAATGACCTCTTCCGATCAGAGATGGAATCAAAAGCAAGTGGGATTAACCAATACTTTTATTTTTGGCACCATATGAAAATTTTAAGTTTACTTAAAAATTTCAAATTTTAAGTAAAATTAATTAAAAAATTAATAATTTGAATTGATGCATTTTTTAATTGTAAAATATCTTTGTTTAGTTGATGTTACAATATAAACTTCCTGAAATATCTTCTCCTCAAGAATTTTTGTACACATTAAGTAAACGTTTGGGAAGGTTCAAAAAAGGTGGCGTACCAGACACGGAAATGGCTGCTAGAAAATTTCTGAATGACTGGAACAAGTAAGTCTAAGTTAAAATTATAATTATGTTACTGTATTATAATCCATTTTTTTCTCTAATTCTGTGTGAATTATTTTTTTAACTTAGGAATTTTATTAATTTATCTGTTATTATCATAACATATGTATTATATGCTTTTAAAAAATATAATTAAAACACTATTTCTTCAAAAATTAAATATAAAATCTAACAATATATTATACAGTTTTACGTTGCTAAATAGACAAATAAGTTTCCATCAGTCATTTGCATTGTAAATTAATTTTTTAATTATCTGAAAAATAATTAGATGGTTTTGAGATTGAGTTTCATTTGGAATCATTGCCTTTTTATGTATTTGATTATTATATTGACATTATATTATGAAAATATTTAGGAAAACGGAAGATAATTTGATTATTATAAAAGTGTTATTTTTGAGAAGATAAAATTTATAAGATTCGTTTAGAAAGTAATGCACCAGAATTTATTTTGCTACTAGTATGGCACATACAACTATGAAACTTGGGCATCTAGTTGCTTCCTTTGGTTATTAATGTTATTTTTGAACAATCTCCGTCCTTGTCTTTGGCCATATGCTGGCATTGAAGGAGGGTGTGTACACTGGCTTGGTACAGATCTCATTCCTGTGCATGCAAGCGTTTCCTCATGGCACTAACATGTTTGTTCAACTGGAACTTTATCCCACAAAGTGCATTTTTCAAAGGACCAAAAAGATAAAAATCTGGTAGCACTAAATTGGAACTTTATGGTAGATACAACAATATTGTAAAACCCAGTTTTGTGATAGCCATGCAAGTCTCTGGACTTGTGTGTGGCCTTGCATTATTGTGCTGAAGGAGCAAGCTGCACAGGCCCTTCTCAATTCTGATATGTTGATAACGTTTCTTCATCTTTTTTAGTGTGATGATATAAGCCTCTGAGTTAATGATGGATTCTTTAGGAATTACAACCATCAAAATGTCCCAAAATAGTGATCATAACCTTTCCTGCTGACAAAACAACTGTTTTTATCCTTCTACAGAAGGATAAAATCAGAACAATCACCGGAATGGCACCATCCACTGTAGTGGATGGTGCCATTCCGGTGATTGTTACTTCATTTTGGATTCAAAGTGGTGCACCCAAGTTTCATCTCCGCTGGTGATGTAAGCCAAGAACTCATTGCAATCAGACCCATAGTGTCACAAGAGTTCTGATGCAGTGGTTTTCCTTGCTACTTTTTAGTTGATCGTGAATATACTTTGGTATATCCAAGTTCATGGATGATTTGGTGAAAAACTTCTTGCACTAATGCATGGGCATTCTTCCAGTGTTGGAATGTAATGCATTGTTCCTCCCAGCCATTTCATCAACATATTGCATCATGCCTGCCATGATAGTCATAGTGAGATGACCACTTTGCAGCAATCTGCTATACTTACTGTTGATGACTTAATGCATTTCGCCCAATGACCAACATTGTTTTGGTTGACAGCTGCTGTACCGAAGACACCACACAATTGCTTGTGAATGTTTCTGACAGTTTCCCTTTTGGCAACGAGGAATTCTATTGGTGCATGCTGCTTGGAACATACATCGCCAACATTTGCCATTTTTCAACGAAGCTGTAGTGATTTTGTCACAATTTTCCACATTACAAAAGCCATGCCACATCAGTCTTCATTTCCCAGATATAAATTAAGTGCATTACTTTTTGAACAAACCTTGTAATTTAATGTTAAGAAAATGTAAAAGTCAAATATACACATAAATTCACTATTTATCACACTGGAACTACTAAACAATTTACACACCTGAACCATTTACGGTGTGATCATGCAAAATTCGGTAAACAAACGTTTTCGAACGAATTTCTACTTATAACAGATATCGAACATCTTTATAGAAACTGATTGGAACCTGAAGCAGAATCCAGAAGGGGTTCGAAAACGTTTGTTTACCGAATTTTGCGTGATTACACCGTAAATGGTTCAGGTGTGTAAATTGTCAAATATACTCATTTCTTTGATGATAAGAATCAGAACAATGGCTAATATATAAAATAATATTTATCTTTTATTGATGTTATATTCAATAGAGCAGAGGGACACAATATTGTTTTGTGAATAGGTTTAATGTTGAACCTTGACATATGACTTTTGGCATATTTTACAGAAAATGCATTTGCCACTGTTATATTTGTATTTGCCCCTACTTCTGTGCACATTAAGACTCGATGTTGTTATTAAACCCATCCATCATTCGAGAAAGATTTTGATTTGAGGAATAAAAATATTAGAATTTATATATTTATTTTTCATATTTTTATCTGCATCCTTTACTACAATAGGGCATTTTAAGAGTTTCTTCAATTACAGATGTACCTTGATAATCCGACATTCTCAGTAGTCTGACGCACCTCCCGTCAAGGTACCTGTCCCCGTTACGTATCTGCTTGCAAAGAAGCATGTCGCAACGTGAATCTTCCCACCCAATTCTTATACGATGGCACGCATTTCGTGTGTTTACCGTGAGCAGTTCTGTTTGAACAGTTGGAGTAGGGAATATTGTAGGCCGCTGCTAGCAAAACAATGCCAAATATGCAATCACTTTTGGTAATCCAACACCCCTTTGGTCCCATACCTGTCAGATTATCAAGTGACAACTGTACATTTAAAGTGGAAAAACAATTTAATTTATAATGTCAAAAGCACGTTGATTTTTAATATTTATCGTGTGGACTACTTGAAGTATCAATTTTTTTAATGAAATTTTTTCCTTATCTTATCTTATGTAAAGACTTTTATCTTGCTAATAATAATTGTAATTGTTACTACCAAGCAAATATATAAATTATAGTATGCACAATTTTAAACTGTTTCAGAGGAAAGATAAAATATTTCACTCATCCTCCGATCGACAGAGAACGTCCATCATACATCAGTGCCGAAATAGTTGCTGAAATGGGAAAAGATTTTAACCTGACTTTACTCGAAACCGAAGAGAATGAACTTAACGACCTGGTCGTTGTCACTCCAAATGAGGCATTGGAAGTAAAAAGTAAAGAAGAAAAAATGGATGATGATAACCATCAAATATCATTATTTATAGACGAAAAAAAGGTTTTTTTTCTCTACCCATTTTACTTATTGTATATAGATGGCAAATATATATATAAAATATTTTGATAGAACCAAGAAAACATTTCAAACAATAATACCCAAAAAATATCACAAGATGACGATGACGTAAAGAAATTATTAGCTGGAAAATGTTTGAACAAAATGAGGAAAAAAGAACTTAAAAGATTAAAAAAGAAAAGAAAAAGAGCAGGTAAGATCATAATGGCATTTTATTCATTTAACTAGAATGGAATTACTCTCTGTACATGTCTAGAGAATTTGTAAGCATTTTATGCTTACAAATTCTCTAGACATGACAAATTCTATAGAGATATTTTATGCCCTTCTATTGTGGTGCTTAATATCACAAAATTATATTCAATGGACATAATTTGTGTCTTCATTATTGAAAAACACTTTTTTCCCTTGAATTTTAGGCATGTTGCAAATTTTTTTTTCTGATTATATTTTAAATTCAGCAGAAATTCTATCACATAAATGGATAAAGCACACAATTGTTTTCATGCTTTATATTTTCATGTTCATTGTGCAAGAAAAACATTAGAATGCTAAAAAAAATTTACTGGGCCAAGTGCTATTTCCATTATGTTTATATGGCTAGTGTATTTCTCCAAAGTAACATGTGCTATACATTGAATACCATGTTAAAAAGAAACTGTGTAGTGCACTATTTACCAATAATTATTTATATTGATCTTATGTCTTAGTCTTAGGTCTTTCTGTGCCAAGTGGCATGCTGGGCAATCAGCTATCTCCGGCGAATACAATGGTTTTGGCATCATCTCATGGAATTCTAATCTTTTTATGTAGAGTATCAGTTTCTTTGTGGTCCGTGTTGTTTCCACTGCAAGGCTACTTTTGGTAAGCATTCCTCGGCCAGATGAAGTACATGCCCTGCAAAACACATTCTGCACTCTGTAACAATGTCCTGTAGTTCATGTAGGCCACTTCTAGGAACTTAATACATATTGTGACTTATCACAAATGAGGGATGATTCTGAGTATCCTTCTAAGATAGAAACTCAATGTATTCCATCAATGCTGAGTAAGTTTTGTGTCTTCCCATGTTTTGTAGGCATAGATTGCAGTTGGAATGACAATGGTGTTGTAGAGACATATCTTAGTCGCTATACTGATTACACACAGTTTCCAAAAGATAGCCAATGGTTTACCACATCTGCATTTTATATTGGCTTCAATGCCTCCATCTGGTGATAATATGCTGTCAAGGAAGCAGAACTCCTCCACTTCATTCATTGTTAGACTCCCAATTGTGATTTTTACTTTGCCTTTTTATCACTGCCGATCTGCAATCTCGCCCTTTCAGCCTCATGTTTGAAGCTTATGGTCATACTCTGCACCTTTGCTGATGACATTGATTTCAGAAATGCACCCAAAGTCCAGATCTGCAAGTTGCATGTCTTCTCCATGGAATTCCTGTATCAGGGATAACCATTGCTTGTTTCATTATAAAATCTGACCAAGAGGGACCAGGAGTAATGGTGAGAGAATGCAGCCTTGCCTAACACGAATTTCAATTTTGAAGAAATCTGTGTATCCATCCCAGGACTGTGGAGTCGGTAAAAAACAATGAACTTCTACTCCGACTCCGGCAAAATTAAATACCAAGTCATTTTATGGGGAGTTACCCTACTCTGAACTATGAAAAGTGCCCCAGACATTTACCCAAATACTTTTACAGTTAGTATTTTTAATATTTTTAATATTTAATTTACATTAATATTTATTTGTATAAAAAAGTAAATTTTTTATTTGTATAAAAAAAGGGGAGTGATAAAATTCTACATCTGCATATCTTTATTCTACAGCTTTTGCACTTCAATTTCACCTTTCCAGAAAAGTTAGTCCAACTAAAAAATTTGCGATCTAGCTACTTCAGAAAAATAGAGTACTTATTTAGAGTGGGGATAAGAGAGGAATGAATTGATGATAATCAAATTCAATTGGGTCAAAAAAATTTAACTATTAAACACAAATACTACAAAGAAAACTATTGGTACATATTTAATAAATTAAATTGTTGCATTTTGTATTTAAAATAAATGAATTATAACAAAATACAAATACATTTTTAAAAAATTACTAAATTAAATTTAAAATGCCAGAGTTGGAGTTGACACATTTTTCCCAACTCCAACTCCTCTGGCCAGAAATTCTTCCTGACTTTGACTCCACAGCCCTGATCCATCCTCTGTCTTGTATCTGGAATCTAATAATTTTAAGAAATTTATACAGCAGGTAACGTATTGTGATATGCTGCAAGATCTAACAATATTCCACAGTGATTCACAATGTTGACTTTAAATAGTCTTTGAGAATGTCTAAAGTTAATTAGAAAAATGTGTGTAGTTCCAGAAACCACTGATATGATATTCAGAAGAACACAGATCTGTCTACAGCATGATTTCCCTCTCTGAAGCCAGCTTGCTCTTCCCTCAAGATTGGTCCAATTGCTTCCCTTAACCTCTGTAAGAGAACTAAGCAGAATACCTTTCCATGAACCAAGAGAAGTGGTAATGCCTCTCCAGTTGTTCCTAAGAAAGGAAAGCTTGCTGATTGTCGGTTTGACTATTATGCTTCCTTGCCAGTCCCTGGGGACATTTTCCTTCCTCCAGCAGTTGTTCAGGAGGTGTGTGAGAGCCTGCATGTTGTAATTTTCTCCATACTTTGGGAGCTCTGCTGTGATCTCGTCAAGGCCTGCTGCTTTGCAGTTTCATCTATTGTGATCTCACCCACTTTCACCTCTAGATCTTTTGAGGTGTTGAAAGTGTAGAGATAAAAGATGGTTGGTTTAACATCTCATTAAAATGTTCCATCCAGCATGCACTTTGTTCTTCTTTACTGCACAGGATTTTACCGGTTTTATCCTTTATGAGAGCATTATAATTATTCTCTGTGAACTAACTGGGGCAAAATGACATAGGGATTTAGGGTTATTCCTCAACACTTTTGCATTCAATCCAGACCTGTTTATCAGCATAACTCTATTTGCTAGTGGTGATTTGGCCTGGTCTCTTATTTGTTTTACATTTCTTTTTTTTCTAGACTTTAGAGAATTAAAAGCTAGTAGCTTTCTTTCTTCATCAACATATCACACAAGGAGCAGTTGTTTATGTAGTTTTTTATTAAAGGAAATGTATTTCAGGTCTTAATGACCTCTCTTCAGTCCTCTTTTTTTTTTTTTTTTGTAAAGTCTAAGATAGATATGGGTTACATAATACAGAATAATACATATAATATTTTAACAAAATTTCTTAAAACAACTTTCTAATGTTAATTGTAACCAACAATCAACCATGTAAGTATGTTCGGTAATTGACTTCGTAATCAGTTTACTAGGGTTGCTGCAGGGTTTGGATCATCTTTGAGTATGCAGCTGCATCTATATGGAAGGGCAGGGTAGCTTCACCAGATGGGGGGGCCATCTGGGGAGGTGGGGTGGGATGCAATCACAGTTGGATACTACCTCTTATGGAGGAGGATTTCCAGATGTCACTAATAGTTAAAAACATAAAATGAACTTGAAATCACGAAAATAGACTGTCATTTTTCATATAATTTCCTTAAATATATATATAATTATTAAGTGGGATCTCACAACCTTCATTATTGCAATGTATGGCTATAGCAGAATTACTGTAATTAAATTTAATAGCATGTGAATCTTCTTTTAGGTGAAACTGGAAGAACCCTAAAAACCAAACTATGTATTGGTAATTCATTGGTAGCTGCAGGATATTCTATATATAATGTTATTTCGTTTCATTATATCAATATTTTGAATAATAATTTCTTTAGTTATTAGTAAATACAGGGGCTAGAGTTATGTTAAGTGGTTTTAATAATTTTTTAATTTTTTCAAAAGTGTGTGAATGTACATTTTTTATAAGTTGTTTATTTACACATTTAGAAAATCTTTCAACTAAATTCCATGTTCCAATTTTATGTCATTGGTGTTTAGTATTGAGTTCTGTATTGAACACAAAATGTTCTCATGGTTTTGTTTCTGCACTGTCATAGAGGATGATGAATCAATAGCATCACACTGAGAGTTTTGGTTTTGCCGAAGTCTGTTTATTGTTTCTTTTAGTGGTGGCAGTTTCTACATGGTGGGGTTGCCAGTCCCATGCCCAACCCTCCTTTCTCATCTGGGCTTGGGACTGACAATGGCTGAGTAAAACAAACTGAATGTTTCAAATCCTGATTTTACATATCATTGAAATTTTTAATTGATATATTGGATAGTCAAAAAGTTCCTGGAAATGTGGTATGGCACTTCAATGGTGATTAGGTAAGCATTTCCAGATGCTTACCTAATCACCTTCAAAGTAGAACTATTTGGCACATAAGCACTTCCCATTGTCGGAAGATTTCTTTTGTAATATTTGGGAATTTGGCCATTTTCAGGTCGGACAGTGTGTTACTGGTCATTTCTATGTGAAAGTTTTGAATAGGTTGTTTGTTGCGTGGCAATTCCTTGCCAATGAACAACTTCCCATTACATTATACATACTGCTGTACTCATTGTATTCCCCATGCCAAAAATGGATTTCAGAGGAATATATTTCACAACCCCAGAGGATATCAAATCAAATGCAATATCCAAACTCCCACATATTACAAAAGAAGCCTGTGACAGAGCAAGTGCACCAAAGAGTCCAATTTTGAAGGTAGTATATATGGCAATGCTTACGTAGTGCTATACCACAAAACTGGGAACTTTTTGACTCCCTGTGTAATTTATATAATTCTCTATCATTTTCATAGAAGGGAAGTTCATTTTCATTCATTATAAGTAGCTAAAATAGTGAATAATAGTAGCAATTATCAAAATTATTATATTTCCAGCAAATAAAAGACTAATGAGTTATCATAATAGGAATATGTAAACATTTAGTATACTATGATAGGGCATGCACTCCTTCAAATAACATTTCATAATAAAGACCTGAGAAATATTTCTCAGGTCTTTATTATGAAATGTTAGTGGAAGACTGAAATTATCTCCTGGAAATAGTAATGTTGTAAACATCCCAAAGCCCAATAATATATTTGGAAAACTTTAGATTGATCTAGTCATAAAAGTTTCCTATACTGATTGTTTTTGTTCTATCTTACAGAAAAAGCGGCAAACAAATTAGCAGATTCTCTGGATGCTGCTCTGTCTTCATTGGGAGATTAACATTGTCATTAATAAAGAAATAAAAATTCTTTTAAAACAAAACCATTTTATTTTATTTTATTTTATTTTACAGTAACCAAATGTTAATTAACATAATAATTTAGTTTAATAATGTTTAAATTTAATGAGTATGGGTGCTTCCAGTTGCTCCACTTGCTTGGCAATGACATCATCATTTCTATTAAAGTTAAAAACTATTGACATGGCAGTAGATGGTGTTGAAAATAGGGGGAAAAAATTATAGTGATGTATTTGCAGATAAAGATTTACTGAACCTTTATGTATCCTACCTCTTAATGCTTGTGATCGAGACTGACATTATCTAGTTCAGGAGTTGCAAACTGGTAACCTGTCAACGGTACAATGATTTCTTTTTTAAAAATCAATGGTTCCAACATCTTGCAGGGATCAGGTGTTTACAACTTAACAATTAGAGGCCCTTTTATTATATTGTAATTTTAAAAAAAAGCTCTGTTTTTGTTTACTGGTCTTTAATATATTTCACAGGCCCTTTACCACTTAAGTTTTGGGCCCAATTTAGTCTTTCAAAAAATGTTGTATTATTAAACTATTGACTGCCATTTTATTAAGGAAAGTCATTTGCTTAACAAGTGAGATTTGTAACTAGGAGCATCCTATATTTCAGTTGTAAGATATGTTAATACAGTAGAGCGTCGGGTAACCGATTATGTACAAAAAAAAATATTAACCTATCCCATGTTGAATTTTCATTGATGTTAAGGCTAACGTAAATTTTTTAAAATAATAATCGTGGCTATTGTATCATTAAAAATTATTTCTTTATATTTTTTTTGTTTGGAAGTTAACCTAGTATCTAAAACGTTTGATTCAGCACGACATAGTCCGGCTGGAATGCTTTCGGATAAACAACGCTCTACTGTACTGATAAAATTTCATTAAAAACAGTTCAACCCTTAACATTCAATTTTAAAAACTTTTATCAAAAACATTCCGTGAAATACAAAATTGAAAACAATACATTGAATGCATTGTGTAAATCATATTAATAATAGTTCTATAATTTTTAATTAATGAAATTTGTTAAAATGTTTTAGCCTGCAATGCCAAAGGGCTTTACCAAGGTCAAGGTTATTGAGCACAAGAAATTCTCTTTTGTATGTTGGTACTGGTAAAAGGATTAATCTTAAATTTTGTTCTCTAAAATAGTATTCATTTTTTAACCAAAATGAAATTACATATGATATTGTAATACAGTAGCCTCTTGTTATATTGTGGATTTAGATATATCGCACTTTTTTGTCCGTGATTATTTTAAATCTGTCTCTCAGAAATTTTTGTCACTTTATACGTTTTGCAGCTACTTCGTCATTTTTCATGGGCAGCTTAACAAACCTGTGATGGATGGGGAAAAGTTAAGAAAAAAAAAAAAAAAGACAGTCCGATACCAGTCATCCAGGTTAAAAGTACTAAAGTATTTATACATTGTGCATTTGTGATAAAGCTTTTACAATTTACAAGAAAAGTAGCACACTTACTTACAGGTTTGCCTTGGATAATATGGTAGAACACTAACCAGCTAATGCAGACAACATTTGAGCATCAATCTAATTTCTTTAGTAGAATAAAGCAAAACGTTTAACATCCCAGTACGAATGTTAAGAAATTTGCTATAAAAATATAATAAAAATTCTTTACAATGCCAATATATTTTTTTAATTGTTCTATGCCCGATCAAAGGATTAACGTCGAATAACAATAATACAGCATAAGAAATTTAAAATCTCCCTCCAAATATTTTAAAAATTAAAAGGCTTTTTAATTTATAATCTGCAAATCCAAAAATCAGTTGCTCGTATGAACATATGGCAATATTTAAATAGGCTTACAAATTTATATGATGAGACTTTCTTTATAAAAATAATTTATTGATATTCATTTATCTTAAATATTGACACTTGAACTTTGCTTTATTTTACTCGAAATTGGGAAGCGAGCGCGCGCACATGTTATAAAAATTGCTTAATATTGGCGTCCCTAAATTTTGAATTTAAAATTATAAATCTGTTTATCTTAATTTTCATTATAGAGATTTTTTACACAATGCACTCAATAATTAAAACTTTTATCCACAATACTTTGATATTATTAACAACATTATTTATACATTTTATAAAAAGTATTTAAACAATCTGAACACTTTTAAAATGTTTCTTAAATAAATTTTATGGTATTTTGTAACATTTTATCAAAATAAATATGGCTGTCTTTAAATAGTAGCATCAACATTTTATCTTATAGAGATTTCTTTTAAATGAAAAATGTAAAAAAATCATTTGCATTAATTTTTGAAATTATTGTTTTCTTTTCCAAAGTATCTCTCATAATAGAGCATCTGGAATGAAAGGAAGTAATCTGAACACAAAAACGAGCATTTGTCATTTCTAACTGTAGTACCAAACAACAACAATTTTTGATACTTCTGGTTTGACTGATTAACAAATGTGACAAAATGTACATTTTCTACTTCTAATAATGTATATTTATATATTTTTTTCCCTTCTCTTTTGCAATAGTGATCTATATCTATCTAAATTTTAGAATAATTTAACTACAGTATATTATCTTGTAAGATCACAGCATATAAAAAATATACAAATTTATGTATATAATTATAAGATAAGTTATCTTCTTTCTAAAAATAATACTAATTCTCACCTGTAATCTCTAGATGTAAGAGTATCTAATATAGCTTGATTACACCACAAAACAATTTAGATAGGACACTTTCCACAATAATATATATATTTTTTTCTTACCCCTGCTACTGTAAAACAGTAATTATTTTGGAAATAACTGTTCTAGCATATTTTTTACTCTTGGCCATATTTCTTTGGATTCTTTTCCATAAAATATATGTAAAAGATGTTTTTCACTGAAAGTAAAACAATAAAGTCATATTTAAAATCATTGAAAAATTAATTATATATGCATACATAATTATTAAAAATATTTCTTTTGAATTGATAAGATATAAGTTTAAAAAGAGTTATTTTGAGTATTGGATCTATGCCAACAGATTAGCAAGTCGAGCAAATGTTCATAAGAACATTAAAACTGCCATTCAAGAATAATTTAATAAAATTATTCAGACAATTCTCGGATAACTGTTTTATAACAGAAATTTTAAATAATTTCATAATTATAAATTGGAATATCTTTGTGCAGTTGTACATGCAGGTTTATAATCTTTTATTATATTGTACATATAGGTTTTTAATCTTTGTAAAATCTCCCTTTGTAACTTAACTGTATATTGAATCTAATAAATTTTGTATTCGTGTCATGTTGACTGGTGTGATAAGCCCTAATATATTAACTTAAAACAGTTAATTTATAATACATTTAATAAGTTTAAGGGCAAAAACAATATCATTAAGTTTAGAACATTTATGTTTTAAACTTTTTTGTGGAATACGTGAGAGCCTCTGATGATGTGCTTGTCAGCTGAAAATACTTATCTGTATTTACTATAGTCCTGAAACCAATAAAAGTCTGATTTGTTAAAAGTTAATTTACAAATACTATATTTTTTGTCTTATAATATGCACATTGTATTGGACGCATTACATTTTTTAGGAAAAAAATATTCTTCACAGTACAATATGCTTATGTATTGGCTTTGGCTTATAGGACACATCATAATTTCCAGATATACAAAAAGTAATGCACATTTTCTGAATAAATTAAAACTTTTTAAATCGAACGCTATGTTAATATATTTAATGAATATATCCCACAGTTTATTACTAAATAAATATTTGTCTTCTTATTGTTCAAAACTTTGTTTTTATAAAACAACAGTTAATAAGCCAATTATGACATATTTTTAACAGCCAATAATTATCCCACAAAATTAATTCTTTGCGAGTGAAAAGTTTTTAAATATTGAAAATTCACCTATAATAATCCAACACTAATTGTGTTTCCTTTCTATAAGTATCCAACCTTGCTTTTATCGTCTCAGGTTTGTCATCGTCCCGTTGAATTAATGGTTCACCTGTGACATCGTCAATACCCTGATTTTAAAAAAAATTATATAATTTTGTTTAATTTGTAATAATGAATATGAATTGATCTTAATAATGATTTAAAGAAATGTAATAAAGAAGAATTACATCCTTAAAAATAAGTACAAAAAATTTTTTCTAAAGAAAGAATCCACTGGCTAAAAAAATAAAAATTCCTTAAAATCTACACTTCAAATAGATGCAATAAAGACGCTTAAAATAAATAACACAAGAAAAAATTGTTTTCTCTTGAAAATATATTTCAGCTTTTAAATCATTGCTAAATACATGCCTAATCATTGCCGAAACCATTTACAGTAGAGCATCAATTATCCGACTCTCGATCAACCGTCACATCGGTTAACCGACCGTTCTAGTTGGAAAATTTCAAATGTCCGCTAGTGATGTGGCGCTACAATATTTGGCTATGTCTTGGCTACTTTAATATTATTTTTGTTAAATTTTTGCGTGTTTTAGGCTGGCTTGACCATGAAAGGGAGGCCAGTATTTAAACGAGGCTTAATTTTCTAATTATGAGTGGTTGGTTGTTTTGTGAGCAATAAAATAATTTAAAAATAATTTTTAACTATACAATAGCAACGATTATTATTTTAAAAAATTTTTGTTAGGCTTAACATCGATGAAAATTCAACGCGAAGTAGGTTAATAGTGATATACTAATATACTAATTACATGGGATATAATAATAT